TCTTATAAAGGCAAAATAAAAAGTTTTACTTCAATTTGAAAATTTAGAACTGAATTCCTGGTAATTCATGAACAAACTCATGTGTAATTTTCTGGGAAATAATATGGAAGTTATTTGCCACTGCCCTTTTCTGGGATATTTTTTTTTAACTTAAGCTCTAATACAGCTTAATTTTCTGAAATCAGATAAAATTAGCTAGATATTTTACTCTTGGTGTTTTAATATATTATTCAAATTCAATTAGAAGATGCTAAAGTAGCAGATACTGTTCTATTAATTCTCACTCAGACTTATAGTTGTTGTGGCAATTAAAACTATTTTAGAAACACAATTTCAAATTTTATGTAGTTAAGATTCAAAATTGATAATTATAAGAGAATGCCTTTCTGTAAGTGTGCATGCACACATACATAAATAAATCTATTTGTGAAACATGAGCCTAGGGCAGGGGTAGGCAACCTCGGCTCTTTTATGACTCGTGGACTTCAACTCCCAGAATTCCTGAGCCAGCCAAGCTGGCTCAGGAATTCTGGGAGTTGAAGTCCACGAGTCATAAAAGAGCCGAGGTTGCCTACCCCTGGCCTAGGGGAACCCATATTCTTTGAGTGATTGTAAGATTTAATATTAAGATATGAGAGATTTAGAACTATTAATATAAATAATTTATTTAAATATATGATTATCTGCATTATATTAACAATACTGAAGAAGTTTTAAATTAAGTCTAAATTGACTTAGGCAAACTTTCTCCAATCTCACATATTCCATGTGTGTTGGGACTGCAGCCCCAGAATTTCTAACCAACAATTTCTAGGTTGATTCTGGGAATTAAAGTCCCAACACATGTAAAAGCCACCAGCTCAAGGAAAACCAGCTGAGACATGTCTACTATACAACTGTTTTGGGGGTTGCTGTTTTTACTGAAAAAACAGGAATAAAAGAAATAAAGATTCCTGGCAGCAATAGTTTGAAAAGAACACCTTAAAGTGTCTAATATTACTAAAATCAACCATTTCACTCAAAAGAATTATTGTATGAAAATTTCACAGGAAGCAGAAATGACAAGCTTACCTGACCAGGAAAAGAATACATTGCGTACAATATAGCTAAAACTTTAAATAAAGTTGAAAATGTTGTAATGCAGGCAAATACAATCTCAGGATGCTATTAGATTTTTGTATTATGTAGGATATTCTTACATCCTAAGTGCCCATAACTTTACATTCTTCATTAAAAATATTCAGCATCTCCATTTTAATAATTCCTTCAGTCAGGTATCTTCAAATCAGTTGAATGCTATGCTAAATACCTTCAGGAGGTTTTGTTTATGAGAATGATCTTTTCATTTATATTTTTGAACGCAAGGGCCTTACTGGAAGTTTCAGAGTATTCTATTACTTCAAGTATAAAGAAAAAGAGAAATTACATATGTATTTAAGTAACCTGTTTACACTGTCTTCTTTTCCCCTGACACAATCTGGTGTTCTCAGACATGCCTTTTAAACAGTACAAAGCATAAAACAGATAAATATTCTCAACTGAAAAGTATTTTCAGTTCCTAGGTGGCAGCATCATATCCATAAAGCAAGATAACAAAGCCTCCAAAATATTTCCATATATCCAAAATCAGAATCTACTATACTAAATCTATTTAATACTAAGAATACACACATAATTCACTACAAGTGTAACAAAATGTTACTAATCCTTTATACTTTTCAATTATCCTGTATCTAACACTGTTTCTATTAGGCTTTACCTTTCTTATCTCCATCTTTTCGACCACATCAGCATTCCCAATGCTTTACTGATATCATACATTTACTGAAACTATTTTTATATTTCTTATTTGATAGTAAATGCAGTTCCTATACTTGGGAAGAGCCAGCCAGTCAACAGAAGTATAGCCTTTTGCCTAGGTACTATTCTTATTCAGTGTAGCCTCTATCCAATGTGTTTATCTGTCAACAAATATGAATGTCAGCATGGGACCCCCCACTCTCCAAAAAAGTACAGGAAATTTTCAAACATAACTAGTAGTAGAATAGCACCTGTAAGTACAAGGCTACTGTATACTAAGTGGTTAGGATAAAGACCACCTTTTAATGCCTCAAACATACACTCCCTTTTATCTTTTAAGCTTCTAATGCTTTTCTTTAAACTATTTGATGCAAGTGTGTTTATGATTTTAAAACTTTTAAGAAAGAGAAGATTACAGCCCAAACCTAATTCAATTTTAATACAGCATATTCTCAAAAACATAAAATTCCAGCCCTAATCAGTGTTCAGTAAGAATGACATCAATTAATATCAAGTTATTAATAAACTTGAATAGAAACTTATATTGATATATTGAATGCAATTTATGAAAACTTAATAGTTAACATTTAAAATTTCAAAAGTTTTGAACTATGATTTTGCTGGACAATAAAACTTCACCTCCTTCCACCATTTCTGTTAACATAAAGGCAGACCGTAAACATGTCATCAGTTGGTTAAGACCTTATTTATGGAATACAGGATCAGACAAAACAAAGAGCAAATTCTTATTTTTTTCACAACCTTTCACAGATCTAATACCAACTCTTGTAATGAAGCCATTATAAAATAGGGAAATGACTTGGTCAAAAAAAGTAAATGGGATGGGCTTTAAAGCTGTATCAATTCAATGCTTAGATTAATTAACTGGGCTAAGGCAAAGCTTAAAAGTAAGGAATTCTCCGTGAAATTATTAGATCAGGGCTATATTGACAAAAGCAAGCCTGAAATTAAGTCTAACGAATTCTAGAAATATTTCTGAAATGCGTTCCAGACCCTGAACACATTTACTGTATCCAATGCCAAGCTCTCATTTCTTTTCTCGGTAAATGCGACATAGTCAGGCCTAGTTATGTAGGCCTCTGTAACACAGGCAGAACCTTTGTTCCATACATCGATGTTTCTTTCGTAAAGCTCTTGACAAAACTTTCCACTCTCCCCGCCTTAATGTTTTCTTCTTCCTAATGTAAACTTTTTCAAATTCCCGATGTCTTTTAAACCCACTAGGAAGAACACCCCCACCGCGACAAGGCTGCTGCCCATTAGGAGAAAGGAACAATAAAAGTTGTACAGCAGGCAGGCAGCCCGGCCTGCAAGGCTGGCAAACGCCTCGAGATCAGTTTGAATGTTAGCCCGGTCCTAGTCGGCAGAAGCTCAAGTTGTTCGGCGGGCAGGAAGGGGGAGAAAGAATGTGAATAGCTAAATACGACGCGTTATGCAAACAAACCACAAGGTAAGGCTAGTTTCTTCTCGAATATACCAGTAACGCAAACCAGCTCTAAAATTACAGGCTGAAAACAATCTGCTCCAGTATTAGGATTCAACACCTAAGGGAATCTATTAACGATCATTTTTCCCCCCACCCCACAACTACACAATATGATTTCCCCCCGTTTTCGGCCCCAACAATCCGGGTCAGCATTAAATCAACTGATAATTTAGCTTTTTTTTTTCTTTTTTTTTAAACAAGGAAGTGTTGTCGTCTGGTTGGGAAGGGGTTTTTTTTTTCCCCTTGTTTCTCCTAAGTGTATTCAAAGGGGCTCAATAACAGCATCCAAGAAAAAATAAATAAGAGAGGAGCGGGGGGGGGACGGGGGGGAATAGTGATTAGCCTGAGGAGAAAAGAGGCACAGCGAAATGCAAATCGGATTCGGGATAAACATTAAAGCTGCCCTTTTGTATCTAACAGCCACACAAAACCCATAAAGACAATCTTTACTGAGGGGGGGGGGAGAGCAAAGTAGGCAAAGGGGTTAGGATAGACCCAAACCGTAGAAAAGAGCCCGAGTCAGTTTTCGGTACTGTTGGAACCGGGGCCTTCAAATCCACCCCTTTAATACATCAAAGCTAACAGAAGAAAGACAGGAAAAGAAAGAAAGGGAACGGCTGAATCACGATAAGCTTCACCCTACCGCTTGGCCATTTTAGCAGCTCCCTTTCTGCCACCCTGGCTTCCCTTTCGTCACTTCTTCGCTTTGGGGGGAACCCCTTGACCCCGGGAGTTTTCCCCACCTCGGTATAAAAAGCACCTTCTTTCCGGGCGATTACTTCCTCATACCTGCGAAAGGCCTCGACCCGTGAGACAGCCAACTCCCCCTCTGCCCGTCTCGCCCTCCCCGGCCCAGGACTCCCTCGCCCCAAGCCGCCTCCTCTGTCAGGCTCCGCAAACCAGGCCCTTCCTGCCACCCATCCCCCCACTTCGGCCCTCGGTAAAAAAAAAAGCAGGCAGGGAAACGAAGGAAAAGGAGGGACCTTCTACTCCCACAAAAAGCGTCACCTAGAAAAAGAAGTCGCCCCCGCCCGTGTTGTCTTCTCCCCACTCCTCCCTCCTTCGCACAGTACCTAGTTTGTCCCGACGCGGCCTCCGCAAAAGCACTCCGTGCCTCCCCGGTAGCCCTGGCTCCTTTTCTGTCCTGCCCGGCGCCTCTTCCCTTCAATTATCAGCTGAAGCCGCAGCACCGATCAGTGCGCCGTCTGCCTCCGCTACCGTACCCCTCCAGCGGCGTAAGGGGAGGCCGGGGACTACTTCACCCCCAAAGGGGGCCGAGGGCCCCCCTGTTTCCCCCCTCGCCAGCAGCGGGTGTTCTCCCTGCTTCAGCGCTCCCTGCCGCGGAGCCGGCAGCCCCCCTCCTTCTCTTAAAGATCGGCAGCAGTTCTATCCTTCCTGTCCCCCTCCGCTTGTCTCAGACGTTCCTTGGCTGAAAAAGAGGTATCCCTCCGCTGGGGTCGTCACCCCCGGGGTACGTGCAAGCGTTATCCCTTCGGGGTCAGCGCGATCGCTCCAGTCGCTCTCCTACGGTGTTTCCCCGTCCACGGTGGCGATTCCGAGGCTCCTCTTTCCTTTCTTGGGGGGATAAAACCTCCGTGACTTCTAACACTGAAAACTGGTCGTCTCCTTTAAGAGAGGGGGCCGGGCTTCCAGTGACCTTCCATTCGCCCGCCCCTTCCTGGTTGCCAGAGCGACTGGGAATTGGCGTCCTAAAATGGCGTCTCTCCTGGACGATACTTTGTTCGAGACGCGCGGACAAGCCCCGGCACCTAGCAAAGACTTCTACCAAATCACCGTTACTAGGAAAGATGTGAGTATATTTGTTTTTTTTCTCCCTTTTGTCGGACTTCAGAGATTTTGGAATTTCTATTGGAGGGTGATTAAGTATTGAGAAAGAAAGAATAGTGCACGGTACCCCGACGAAAGGAAAGGAGTGTTAATTACCCTTTATGAAGATACGTGCCTTGCAGGCAAAATCAATGAAGGAAAGCGGGGGCAGGGGGGAGAGAAATTCGCCGAGTGCTCATGTTTTTACGGACAGTTCCTGATTCAGGGCTGGAATGTAAGTCCATTAATAAGGATGGACTGCAGTGCTAATGCTAGCTCCGGCTAAAAAAAATAATTGTCCAGATGTAGTTACAAGATGATTTTCGCGGATGGGGCCCTCAGCTCCTAATACTGAGATAGGCATAAGCTACATCATTTCTAAAACCCAGTCGGCATGGCCATTGTCTGATATTCTGAAAGTGATAGTAATATTTGGAAAGCAACCATTTCCTTAAATTTGCCCTAATTTCTGATGCTTATATAGATGTTCAATAGTTAAAGCCATAATAAACCTTCTAATTTAGTTCTTTATAATTAGATTTATATTCATGTTTGATTCATAATAATTTGTATGCCTCCGAATAGAAAGGGAGAAGCTGACATGTATAACTCTCTCATTTTACTGTTAAATAAAATTCCTGTTTTGTTACATTCATTCCCTATGTGAACAAGAAAAATAGTTCGAAAAATTGAATATGCTTGTCCAAGAACAGCTAGCTAGAGAAAGATAGGCAATAATTATACAATTTTGAAAAATGTTTATTATAAACACTTTACCTTTTACACTTCTACAACATTACATGAAAGTAAGATTCTTTGAAAGAGCAGCGTGTTTTATATTTCTTATTCCTAAATACATATTTTTCAGCACTAGTGTTTTAGAAACCATGTGCTAAACAAATTAGTGTTATATCCTCCATCTGTTTTGGATTTTATTCCCATAGTCAAACAGCCCAATTAGTAGCAAGGGACTATAGCTGGTACAATCTAAAATATCTGAAATACATAGAAAAGATCAGTATGTAGTAAATGCAAGACCTTGAGCTGAATGTTTAAGCAGATAAATTAGGGCAAGGATTCAGAAACCAAATGATTAAGGTAAAATTTCCAGATTTCAATTAAGCTACTGCAGCTGTCACAATTGTAGTTCCTTACAGTTGCTTTTAAGTAAATATAAAAATGGGGGTTTTTTTCTGGTAACTGAATTGTTACTTTAAAAAAAACAATAAGATTGCTTAAAAAGTAATTCAACCCTGGATCATATCTTAATGATTTCCTAATAGAAGACATGCCCCCTCAAATCCTTCTCTCCTACCTCAATGAGGTGACAGAATGTTTCTAGGAGAGGTGAGCAAGAATGGCAGGAGTGTACATCATGATTATATAATTCCAGCACAGCTGTTTAGCTAAAGTGGACAGGCATTTTTATCGGGCATCAGCAACATAGCAAGATACTGGAAGCAGAAAATTACTTTAATGGCAACAGCAAAGGCATCTTTTCATACCATGGAAGAGATGGCAGTGGCAAACCACTCCTATATTTAACAATGAATAGACAATATAAAATTGATAATATAATAATGGTTGATTGGCCTCTTAAGTCTGATGGCACTCAACATGTTATTGAGGAAGAGCTGAGTATCTTTTGGGATATTAGTGATGTTTAAAAAATGGCTAGATTAAAACCTTTGAGATATTTAGTTGCTGAGGTTGCCATACAAGAAAGGAAAATCTGAAGCTGCAAAGACAAATTACGATAGGAAATAAATATGAGATGCATATACATGAGAGAATCCATACAGTGAAAGACAAAATGAATTGACTATACATTGACCTTCCTGGCATCATTGCATTAAAATTGACTGGAATTGGAAATTTTCAATCAAAAGGTGGATTCTGTTTATTATTAGAAATATGAAAAACAAAGAGGAACCAGTGTTTCTTTCATAGCCAGGAAAGCTAAAACAAAGACTGTACTTGGGAACAATGCAATCAATGATTGAATAGTATCAATTATACTTCACAGGCAACCGTTTATTATGATGCTTATTCAAGTTTATGCTGCAACTACTGATGCAGAAGAGAGGGTTAATCTGAAGTTGACAAAATATGTAAGCAAGATGTGCTGCTTGTATTTGGAGACTGGAGTACCAACGTTGGAAATATTACAAAGGAAAATGTAATTAAACTGTATGGCCTAAGAAACTGAAATGAAGCAAGAGATCAACTTACCAATTTCTGCCAATACTGTCACTTCTTGATTACTTACATTATATTCCAACAACCATATCAATACCTATATATATGAATATCACCAGATGGTGTACACAGAAATAAAACTGACTATATTATTAGCATAAGGAGATGGAAGAGCTTAATTATAACTAAGGCTGACTTAGTTATAGGGCTGACTGTGAAACAGATCATAAACAACTCACGTACAAATTCCAAGTCAAGCTAAAATGGAAGAAAAAAGCCAAACAGTTTCCTTGATATGATTTTGAGCATGTATCCATCATTTTTAATAAGAATATCATAAGAGATTGGCCAAATTTTATTGGACCAATGTACTTTTATTTCACAATTTTACTCTCTGGCTAGGTTCACTAATAATAATAATAATAATAATAACAATAACAATAATAATAATAATAATAATAATAATAATAATAATAATAATAATAATAATAATAATAATAATAATAATAATAATAATAATAATAATAATAATAAAGTTGGAAGGGACCTTGGAGGTCATCGAGTCCAACCCCCTGAACCCTACACCATTTCGGACAAATGGTTGTCCAGTCTCTTCTTAAAAACTTCCAGTGTTGGAGCATTCACCGCTTCTGGAGGCAGGTTGTTCCATTGGTTAATTGTTCTAACTGTCAGGAAGCTTCTCCTTAGTTCTAAGTTGCTTCTCTCCTTGATCAGTTTCCATCCATTGCTTCTTGTCCTGCCTTCAGGCGCCTTGGAGAATAGTTTGACTCCCTCTTCTTTGTGGCAGCCCCTGAGATATTGGAACACTGCTATCATGTCCCCCCTCATTCTTCTCTTCGTTAAACTAGACATATCCAATTCCAGCAACCGTTCCTTATATGTTTTAGGCTCCAGTCCCCTACTCATCTTTGTTGCTCTTCTCTGTACTCTTTCTAGAGTCTCAGCATCTTTTTTACATCGTGGTGACCAAAACTGGATGCAGTACTCCAAGTGTGGCCTTACCAAGGCATTGTAAAGTGGTATTAATACTTCACGTGATCTTGATTCTATCCCTCTGTTAATGCAGCCCAGCACTGTGTTGGCTTTTTTGGCAGCTGCAGCACACACACTAATCAATGGTTAGTTTAAACATTGTTGGGTTCCCATTAAATGCTGGATCTTATGATGATTTAAGATTCCCAAATAAATCCACTTAAGTGTCGTACATATCTTTTTTTAAAAAAAAATATTTTAATTAAATTATTATTTTTTCTTTAAAAACATTCTTCTAAGAAGGATCATCTTCTAAAAGATTCTTTTTTTTTTCAAAGAAATTTTATTATTTTCCATCATAAAAAAAACAATCATAAGCATAATAAACACAGTAACATGTAAGAACACCCCCCCCCCCGGACTTCCCAAACCTAATCC